CAATATCATTAGTGTTGCTACCTAAACTGGTATTTGTTTGGGAGTTTTTTTCAACCGGTTTTGACCGATTTTGAATGGCACCATTCATAAGGGGTTGAAAGAAGATGTGCTTACCAGTTTTTTGGAGTACCGATTTTGGATGATTTAAAAATCACTCAAAAATGATGTAGTGTAATTTTGAGCGGTTCTTTCAACCTATCAAATTGGTGGTTTTTTGCTGTATCTTATATTATCTTCTAATTTTACCCTTTATAAAATAACTATTTACAATTAATATATTTTGTTTAAAAATAACTTATAAATAAAAATATATTAACTAAAGGATTATTTATAAGCAAAAAAATATATATTATAATTAAAAAATTACTTAATGAGTAAAATATTACTTATAAGATGAAGATTAATTTTCTCTAAAAATTTGTTTATAAAGTAAAAATATTACTAATAAGATTAAAAAATTCACTTAAAAAACATAAAAGTCACTTTTAAGTAAAAAAAAAATCACTTGTGTGTAAAATTAATTAAAAGCAAATATTTAACCTTTTAATGTAAATTAACTTATATGTAAAAAATTACTTATAATTAAAATATCGTTTAAGAATTAAAAAAAGTTATATAAGAAAGTAGAAACTGAGAATTTCACTACATATATTTAATTTTATTTTTAAAAAACTTTCAGAATCAGTGGATAATAAACTATAAATATGAGTGGGACCCTTTTTAAAAATCGCCACTAAAATCACTCAAAAACTAAACGCTCAAAACCAATACTCTAAAAAAAGGCTCATAACCGCTACCCTGAACTCTCAAGCAGGTTCTAATGGTGTTAAAGAATATTATTCAAAATATTAATTTAAGGTATCAATTAATTGTTTTTTAAGATCAATAAAATAATCTTAAGGAGATGTCACAAGATGATCGCGTGGCCTAATGGATAAGGCGCTCGCCTCCGGAGCGGGAGATTGTGGGTTCGAGTCCCATCGTGATCGGTTCTTGACTTGCTTTTTTTCAAAAAAAAATTCCCCTTCTTAAGCCCTTTTTCCCCTCCCTTTCCAGCAGTGATCTTTATGCCTTTACCATTTGTCCTCTTGTCAAATGGGGAACATCTTATTTGAATTGAGAATTCCAATTCCCTTGATATTTCAAGAAGGAAGTAATTATACACTAAAAATTGTATTATCTTTATTTGTCGATTATTGTCAAATAAAGCATACATAATAAATCATACATTTCTGAATAATGATTGAAAATTTGCTTTCCTTGAAATATCAAGAATGAATTAATATATATTAAGTGTTGTATTGTACCAATTTTAACACCACATAAATCACTCAAGAGTACTGCTACTAGCAGAATTAAGTGTAAAAGAACTTGGTTGATTTACTTTTTGAGTGAATCTGATTCCTATAGATTGTTAATGGTTATTGCTAAACCACAGAACGTAACATCATTCTCAGCAATCAGCAAATTCAATCCACATCAACGCCAGCTGGTAGCACCCTATTACTGTTCAAGGTTTTTCATACGTTCCAACAGTTGAGTCAAGACAACAAATGACATGTTTCATACGCTGAATTAAAAGCAGAATTAAGGTAATAAACAAACCATCAGGGATAACCCGCAGAACAATGAAGCATGATCTGCTGATAGCAGCTCCTCTATTTTAAATAGGCCTCATGTTTTCAACTAGTAATCTGACTAGAACAGATTTCGAGATGATCGCATTCCAACTATTTCTAATGCAACACGGTAAAAAGAAGAAAACATTTCTCAACCAACAGATTATACATTTTATTGCTAAGCTGAGGTAATCCGTCAAAATCAACAAAGATTAACTAGACAGGGAGGCGCCTGCATTTTCCAATCAACGTGGGAGGAAACAAATGAAACTATCCAATATAAACAAAAGATGGACCATTATCAAAAACGAGAAAAATTTTAGTTCAGCAGCAGTGCATACAAGACCTGCCCACAGAAATAATTATTCAAATGCGATTTATAATCTACTCGACCAGCTCTACATTTACCTCTCTGGTAGGAAACCAGTCATGACAAAGAAAAACTCTACTTAAGCATCATTGAGGGCAAGAACACCAGGTAAGGGTTTCCCCTCAAGAAGCTCCAAGCTGGCACCACCTCCAGTCGAGATATGGCTCATCTTGTCGGCCAGCCCAACCTTTTCAACAGCCGCGACAGAGTCACCGCCTCCGATGATTGTTGTCGCTCCCTTTCCACTGAGCTCTGCCAATTTCTTAGCTATAGCCTGGAAAAGAATAAACAATTCATGAACTTGATTTCAAATATCCAAGTAAAACACCACAAAAAATAGAATTGATCTACAGTTATGAGTTATGTTATTATCTACTATACCTCCGTTCCTGTGGCAAACTTCTCAAATTCAAAAACACCCATGGGTCCATTCCAGATGACTGTTTTAGTAGTATCTAGAGCTTCCCCAAACGACTTGATAGTTTCAGGTCCAATATCTAATCCCATCCAGCCATCAGGAATTCCAGATGCTGGAACAACCTGCAGAGATGTTAAAGTAACACTTCAGTAACTACTGTAAAGAACTCTCGAGGCAAAAATCAGCTCGTTGGGAGCTGCAATCATTCCCATCTTTCTCCATATAAATACGTAGCACCAAAGTAAGTAATTTATCTCATTAGCTAGCCATCGAGTTATTTCAGAACTATAGCAAGAGAAATTTAAGCTATTCAAAAAGCATGGACCAAGTCAAAGTTAGAAGGCTCCTCTAGAGCTCTAAAACATTATCAAAATACCAATGAGTGGAAATGCCTACCTTGCTGTTTGCATCAGCGGCAAATTTGTCAGCAACAACAATGTCAGAAGGTAGCAAGAGAGACACCCCCTTAGCCTTGGCCTTCTCCATGAGTGATCTAGCAAGACTAAGCTTGTCCTCCTCCACAAGTGAAGATCCCACGGCATGCCCTTGGGCTTTATAGAAAGTAAAGATCATTCCTCCACCGAGAATGAGGATGTCAACCTTCTCTAACAATGACTCAATCACGCCTATTTTAGAGGATACCTTTGATCCACCAACAATTGCAGCAAACGGCTTCTTTGGATTTGCCACAGCTCCAACTAAGTAGTCAAGCTCCTGAGATTCAAGAAAAATACAATCCAACCACACAAGTATGAAATTCAACAACCATAATGCAATAAAGAAACGGTCAGTGATGCAATAAGTGCCAACCACTGAGTTAGACATTTTAATAACACTTGACAAGTCATATAATTCTGAAGTCTATGAACAAATAAAGGTACTTTGCAGTTCAAAACACCGACTTAATGCACAGCAAAACATTCAAAGGAGCAATCTTTCGACCAGATACATAATACATAACTTCAACATCTAAAGTATCCGCTAACCTTCTGCATAAGGAATCCAGCAACAGAAGGTTTCAAATACTTGGCCACTCCCTCAGTGGAAGCATGAGCCCTATGTGCAGTTCCAAATGCATCATTAACATACAGGTCTGCGAAGGATGCGAGCTTCTTTGCAAACTCAGGATCATTCTTCTCTTCTTCTTTGTAGAACCTAACATTCTCCAGAAGCAGAACACCGCCTTCTGGGATTTCAGCCACCAACTTCTCTACTTCTTCGCCAATACAGTCATTTGCCATCTTGACCTATTGATTCCCCAGAAACCAGATAAGTAAAGAATCTTCATCTACCAAGAAACCGACGGCAATTACTAGAAAAATTACTAGACATGAAAGTCAACTTGTTAACGAACCTCAACTCCAAGCAATTCAGAGAGTCTAGGCACGAGAGGCTTCAAACTGTATTTTGGTGTGACACCTTTTGGACGTCCCTGAAATCCAAAATTTTTGGACAACACACACCTCCTTATCAACGACTATAAAACTAATTAATGAAACATGGGCCATAATAACAACAAACTGTGGCAAACAAAAAGACCGGAGCTTGCTAAAAAAAAATGATCACAAAGCACTATTGGCCAAAACTCTGGCAAATGGACAACCGAGATAATTTCTACTTAATCCAGTAAGGACCATCAATTTTCTCACAGGAAAAATTTGTTTGCGTCAGAAAACAACTATTAACCACTCCAGCAAAGCTTGGAGTGAAATAGACATCAGAAGTTTGTAAATTCTTAATAATAGTACTTCTTTAGTATATTAAACAGCATCAAACATCCAACAAACCTAAGATAAATAACCACGCAATGTAGCAAAGATCCCAATCAATTACTCAATCAATCTATAAGAAAGACTTAAAAAACAAAGAGTACATTAAAACCCAAACCATGCATTAACGTATTGTAAGTTATAGCAATGCATTTACAATCTGATAAAGTGGGTAGAAGCAAAATGTTAATAATTTAACCACCTATTATATCCAAGTTGATCAATTTGGTAATTAATTGAACAAAAACTATCACTCGTTTTAATCTATTTGATAGAATTTTACTGTTAATAGAACACGTACAAGGTGAGAAGAGAGGATGACTTTAGCGCCATAACCAATCAAGTAGTTGATTGTTGGTACGGCGGCTCTGATTCTGGTATCATCTGTGATGTTAAAGTTATCATCCAACGGCACGTTGAGGTCCACTCTCACGAACACTCTCTTGCCCTTCAGATCGGATTCCTTTAGAGATCCCACGCTCTTCTTTGCCGCCATTTCCTCAAAATTAAACACAGACTTCCCTAAACCAAAACAAATCAAAATCAGACGGAATCGCAAATATACATATACATGTGTAAATGTATTTATTAGAGAGAGGCAGAGAGCTCACGACGATGATGGATAAATCGAGGTCACGAGGTGAGTGGTCAGAATGTGAAGTTTGTGTTGATGAAAAGTAATCACGGGAAGTAAGTGCTGAAGGATCCAAAAATTTTAGAAAGTTAATTGTCCAATAGTCATTGAAATTATGTCTATATATTCGATTCTTCATTAAAATTAATATATCGAATTTCGATCACTAAATTTATCAAAACGTTGAACATTACTCACTGATAGAATAGCAGTTTCAAGCATTTAACAGAATTAGTGACGTGACTAATGAAAATGTACACGTGACGTCCCGTCATGCTGTTAACAAATTGTCACGTTTTTTATTGCGTACTAAACTTTGAAAAATATTTTTGATTATTAAACTTTAAAAAGGTGTTCGATTACTTGTTGAACTTTGAGATAATCGAATTTTAGCACTAAACTTATAAAAATGACGTCAGCCTATTCTTCATTAAAAAATGTGTATTGCAAGCGCACATGTCGTGTAAACGTAATAAAGTGGATAAACGAGTTCAGGTTGTCGATTACACTAAAAATGATTACTCAATTACACAATAGTTAAACTTAATTTGAACATATGTTTGTAAATTTTTAATCTATTTTCATCATTTAAAAAAATTAAATTTATTGAGCATTTTGTTGTTAGAATTAGGGTGTGTTTGATGGATCTTATTGAATAAAGTATGTATTTTAAATAGTGATATGATAGGAAATATGTGGTTAAAAAGAAAGGAAAATTTATTGATGTGATGAAAAATATTATTTTATTGAAAAATATGTGGCTGAAAATGAGTTCTGAAAAAATGTATTTTGATAAAATGTGTGTCAAACAGGGGCTTAAATTAAATAAAATTTGGATTTAGCAGCGAAACACACAATAAATTTAATTAAATGAATTTTGCAACAAAATCGACAATAAGTTTAATTAAATTTGTATTTTTGTAGAGAAATACACGATAAATTTAATTAAATGAATTGTAAATTGTAATGAAATACACAATAATTTAAATTTTGTAACGGAACACACAATCCATTTAATTAAATTTATTGTGTGTTTCACTACAAAAGTCAAATTTTATTTTAAGAACAAAACGCACAATAAATTTGAATTTTTCAAATGATGACAATAACTTAAAATCTACAAAAATATTTTAAAATTAAATTAAACTATTATATAATTGAGTAATCATTTTTAGTGTAATTGACAACTCGTAATCATTTGTCTACTTTATTACTTTTACGCAACTCATGCATTTGCCGTACTTATTTTTTAACGAACAACAGACCGACTTTATTTTTATAAATTTAGTGGCTAAAATTTGTAGTGAGCAATCGAAGACGTGATAATTTGTCAACAACGTGACGGGGCATCACGTATGCATTTCGTTAGCCACGTTACTAATTCCATTAAAAGTTTGAAACGGATGTTATGCTAGTGAGAATGTCCAACGTTTGGATAAATTTAGTGGTCAAAACTCAACATCTAAAATTTTAGGAAACAATAGAGGACAGAGACATAAGTTCAGTGACCATTGGAATAATTAACTCAAACGTTGGAGCTAGTTAGAGCCGGTTTTACTAAAGGTGGGCGGTGTAATGCGCCGGCATATCCCATAGGCCTATGGTCGTCATTGTACTTGCTGATAAAGAAAGAATATTAGAGCTTGTTTGGGAGAAATTTTTGGGAGAAGAATTGATTTTTGAATAGTGATATGATGGAAAATGTATGGTTGAAAAAGAAGAAAAAATTATTGATGTTATTATGATTTACTGTAGAATTTGAAAATCTCTCTCAAACACCCCCTTAGCATGTTTGGCCCCTTTTCGATGAAAATGCATTTTGAAATAATATTTTGTTGAAAAATATGTGATTAAAAAATAGCAAAAGGTTTTAAATTTACATGTAATATTATTTTATTAAAAAATACATTGTTGAAAATAAAAGAGAAAAATATATTTTAGAAAACCTTGTTTGATCTTCATTATTTCTAAAATACATTTTTAAAAATAAGTAAAATTCGTTTGGTCCAAAATTTCATTTGTTATGCTATAAATGAAAGGAAATAAGTAATTTTATCTGAATTTATATGGTTACTTAGCTCATGTTTGGTCCCAGTTTTCTAACACTCATTTTTACAAATTCATTTTCAATCAGACATTTAATGTGATCTGTAACTTTTATTAACTTTTTAACCATATTTTATCAATTTTATCAAAACCCTATTAAAAATTTTATTTTCAGCCAAAACAATCAAGGGTTTATATTCTATTTCTAAAATATTTTCAATTAAATCTTGTATATTTAAAGAAGTATATTCTGTTCCACTGACTATTTAACTTCAATTGTGCAAAATACCATCTTTGTGCTGTTTTTTGTTTATTTATATTTTTATATATTAAAAAATAAGATTGATAATACAATTTTGTTTGATGGTGTTTGAAAAAAAAAATTGATTTCTATATGACTTTTTGATAGATTAAAAAAAAATGTTCACACTCAGTGAGCCGACACGCTCTATGGTTGCGGCATACACGTGGTTTGCCACATCAAAAATTGTAAGTCGTGTGTGACCTAAAAAAAAATGTTCAAACTCAGTGAGCAGACAAGCTCTATGGTTGCGGCCTACACGTGGTTTGACACATCAAAAATTGTAAGTCGTGTGTGACCTAAGTATAAGTACCTTGGAGTCGACTTTTTGTGGGTTTTGTTAATTCATAGTTTAGCCCCTTAATTATATTACCACCACTTAATTTACTTAATGCACCACATTATAAATGCACCACAATTAAAAAAAAAAATTAATAGATACAGTTGATACACCACAATAAATTTACAAGTTACAACTATACTCCTAATCAAATAAAATCTTAAGAAAAAAAATAGTATTGTGGTGTACTCATCAGCCTAATATTATCCCTATTTTTCTCATCCTTTAAACCGGAAATTTTCATTACAATGAAAAGATTTTCTGAAATTATTTTTTCTTAATTGTTTATTCAAAGAGGGGGAAGATAAAGAAGAATACAGCACAAGATCCAACTTAAGACGATGCATCATATTGTGAATTTCTCCTAACGCATTCCAGGATGGTTTTGTTTGCTGTGATATGAAGTATAATGCAATTGATGTCATAGATATAATGAGTACCTGGGTAGTATAATTGAGATTATACCTTGGGCAAAGGCAATCATAGACATAAAGAGTACCTGGGCAGTATAATTGAGATTATACCTTGGGCAATCTCAACTAAAAATATAACCAAGATTGGTTGCGATTTGACCATGTCCCTCAATTTTGACAGGATTCCCATTTTTCACCGTTTTGGTTATAGAATCATTTCATTGTTTTCTTGATATATTGCATTGTTAATTCAAAGAGAAACCGAGTTCAAATTGAGTTTGCGTCGCCATTCGTATAGTCACAAGAGTTGTTTGCGGATGGACGAGGATGAGAAATATCAAAATTGATTTCCCTCAACTGTTAAATATTTTTTCATAATTTTGCATGTTCATCTTTTGTTTTGCGAATGTTTTGCCGTCTCGACTAGTGTTTGTCACTACGCAACAGGTAGAGGGGGGAGCGCCCCCCATGGGGGCTCGGGGGCGTTGCCCCCGAAAGAGAATTTTATTTTCAGAAGTTTTTGAATAGGTATGTTTCTTCCTACAGATGCGTTCATTCATTTCAAGGAACAAACATATTCAAATGGTTGCCTCCATTTCTATATATTTTGGACGAATTCTCATTTACAAAACACATTTAAAAAATTCGTTATTTTGTATTCTTCTCTATTTTCTCTTAGTATCATCAGTTTATTTATAGAGTGTTCTCTTTGTTTGATCAAATAGTCACAGTTTGAATCAAACGCCTCCATTGTATCCTGAGAGAGATTTTCTATCATATCCCAGTCGTGATTTTGTTGGATATGGGAGAGAAACATCTCTTAAAAGATAACGATTTTCGTGTCTTGAAATTCATTAGTTTTTCCAGATTTTCTTACATATTTCCCAACATCAACTTCTTCAAGTATATGTGCCGGACTGTGTTTTTGAAGGGTCGCATTATTCACCAAGATAGATAAATATTTTATGGAGTTAAGACTGTCTGCAAAATCGAATAATTGGCTTGAAGAAGACTCAAATGTAAAAGAACATGATTGTGGTGTATCCTTAAAAAATGTTTATGTTAAGAATTTATATAAATTTGTGGGTATTAACTAATTCTACTTAAGGTGATTTAAGTAAATAAAAAAATTGATTAAAATTGTGGTGTAACAAGTCAATTTTGTTGTGATAATATAATTGCCCTATTTTGAATAGTTATTTGTAAGAAAATAGGAAAAAAAAATTTGAATTTATGTGTAAAATATTTTATTGTATGATTGAAATTGAGTATATATAAAAAAAGAATTTTCAAATAATAGTTATCAAATAGAGGCTTAGGCCCTGTTCGATATCCCCAATTTTCTATGGAACTTGGAAATCATTTTCCATTTTTTTCATTGTTCGAAAAAATTTCCTTGGAATTGATTTTCCACCTTATCCCCCACGTGACCCATTTTCCTTGTTTTCCTTGAATTGGTTTTCACACCACCTTGGTGTGAAAATGATTTTTCAACCTTTTTTTTTTATATAAAGGAAACAAATTTTATTCCCAATTGTAACAAATTATATCTCTTTAATGGACATTTTCATTTAAAATAAAGTCAAACGAATACTAAAATATTCAAAATTTCAATATTTTTCATGTGAAAAATTATACTAATCAAACACAATTAATTGACAATTTTCAAGAAAGTAATTTTAGACAATTTAACTCCCTTAAATTCATTTTCTTTCCACCAAAATGCCACTTTTATAATCAAACGGACTCTTAGTGAATTCTCTTGCATCTTGTAAATTTGATGAACCGCGCTTCACTTACTCCCCTATAATATGTCTGCCCTATAACGTACAGGGTCGATGTAGCCATTTGCAAATGGAATAATTCAAATTACTTTTAGAATTTTGCTGGTGTGCCAGAAGAGGTGCACCCACCTGGGTGACCAACCCTCACAAGAGGGCGGGACCTTCGTGGAACCCACGTGTAATAAAAAATGAAAAAAAAAGGTGACACCCCCTCCCAATGTGTCTGTCCTGCCAAGGAGGGTGTACACACCCTCCTTGGCACTGCAGCCTTTATCTTAGTTGTATCCCCTCACCCGTTGGCACTGCTAGGTCCCATGTGGCCTAGCAAGGTAGCATCATCCATCCAAATTTGAATAGAATTTCACAAGAGTTCATGGGTTCATCACAATTCTACTTTACTGATTTTGTTGGATGATGTTTAAAACAATTTTATTTTATATCTAAGGGTATATTCTCTTTATTGTTTTCAAGTCATTTTCAGGTTTCAATTTTCTAAAACACTGAAAATACGTTTACTTACTTATTTTCAAAAACGAATTTTCAAAAACGAGTTTAAAATTTACAAAGAAAACGGAAAACGCCAAAAAAGTTGTTTTGGTTGTTTTCAGTTAAAATCAAACCAAAACTTCATTTTTTTATTTTTGAAAATAATTTTTTAAAATGACAAAAAGAACGTGTTTTTAGCAATCTCAAAATGAACACTCAAAACCCAAAACCCAAAATGAATTCAAAAGTAAAAACTAAAAACTTAAACACGAAAAGAACAACCCTTAAACTTTTTGAAAGAAAAAAAATGTTCTCTAGTTCAGTGTGAGCTAACAGGATCTATGGTTTGGCCTATACAGTAAAAGTTCGATAAATATTTTGAATAGTAATTTTTAGGATGATGTATGAAAAATATTTTGGGTTTAGGGTGCAAAATATTTTACTGTGTGGATTAATGATTGAAAATGAGTACATATATATAAAAATAATTTTCAAATAATGGTTGTCAAACATAAGTTTAATGAATACTCATGAATTTTATAAATTTGAAGAACCGTGCTTCACGTACCCCCTATAACATCTGTCCTCGTGTAACGTATAGGGCCGATGTAGTTATGTACAAATGAAATAATCCAAAGTTGAATAGAATTCCGCAAAAGTTCATCAGGCATTTAATACAGTTTTATTTTATTGATTTTTCTTGGATGATGTTTAAAACAATTTTATTTCTAACTTTTTGAAAGGCAAAAAAAAGGGTTCTCGAGTTTGGTGTGAGCTAACAAGCTCTATGGTTAGGCCCATAAAGCAAAACCTCGAAAAATGAGTGTTTGATAAAATAATAATCTTATTTAAATAATAAAATTTTTTGATCCCAATTTGGATCAGCGTGCTAAATTAATAATCCTGCTAAATACATAGATAATAAATGTTTTTTTTAGATCCTTACGCTCAATGAATATATAAAAAAAAAAAACTGCTCAAATTCATAAAATTCATGCTAATAAAAATTAATAAAATTTTAATTTGACAATATATTTTTCAAGTCCCCTATTTCAAAAGGGCAATGCTTCGTGTACATAATTATTTAAATAATGTTTTACATAATGATGATGTATCAAAATATAAGTGGGGGAAGTTATTTGAGCGATGAGATTGTGATCCAATTAAATCTCGTCACATGATCTGTTAGTAAACCATTATGTAAGTTATTATACATATGTAGCACAATCATTTTCAAAATATGTATTTAAAGTCTTCTGCTTTTTCTTTACTTACTCAACTTCATCCCTAATTTTTTTGCACTGCAAATACTAGGTTTGGCATATATTTTTTCATTTTATACAAAATAATTATTTAATGTTACGATTGCTTAAATGCCTCTTTTGAAGAAGCAATTGGTAAAACACAACTATAATTTGGATCGTGATAATCATTGATAAGTGTATTGAGTACCATTTGAATAACATTTTTATTAGTAGGAGATTTCATCATCGTGTCATTTACACTACTTAAAAGGTGTTAGACACCCATCACATTTTTGTAACATATATAAGAAATAATGTCACACAATCCATTGATTTCTTCATCTTCACCAACATTTTGATTCAACGTTAATATCTTCATATGACCAAATCAAGTTTAGTTAACTTTTATGGGTTTTGACAATTCAAGTTTAATGAATTTTTTGAGATTTACGAATTTTCATGGATTTTATGAATTTAAATAGATTTTAACTGAATTCATAAGGTCTCAACACAATTCTGTATTATAGATTTTATTTGGTTGGCAGTATTTTAATGGATTTCTATGATTTACGATAGAATTATATAACTTCTTAATAGATCACCCCAAAAAAAATTTACTCGCTCCATCTCATTCATATATACTAATTTTATTTTTAATACAGATTAAAAAATCTTATTTAATATTATTGAAAAAACATTTTTTTCAAAACGTTTTCAAGTTTACCTTTATTTAATTATCAACAACTAGTAGTAAATTATTATTAAAAGTAGTAAAGAAATAAGGGTTTATTAGTGAACGAATAAAATAAAACATTTTCAATAAAGAAACAAGACTATATAATTTAGACCCAAAAAAAAAAGGAAATCAATCTATATAAATGGGACGAGGAAAGTACATCGATACTGAAAATAAAATTCATAACTTTGACCTCGAAAGAATTATCAATCTACAAAATCAAGCGAATAAAAAAAAAAAGAAATACAACAAATTAAAAATTAGTTCAATTTGAAAATAAAATTATTTTCATTAGAGTGTCGAGAATACTATTATACATTAAATATTTTATTATTAAAATTTAAAAACATGTTTGAATTAATCTGCGGGATATGCTACAAGTACAGGATTTTAAAAATCCTGTACTTACACACCACACACAATAGGGGGGTGGGTGGGGGAGTTTTGGCAATTTTTTAATCACATGGGGCCCACTCCCATGTGTGATAGAGTTTGAATTACTGTGGAAATTCTGGTAATTCTTTCCTGTACTCCAAGCTTTATTCTTTAACCCCCTCACTTGCCACC